TTGGTCAGAATTAAGTCCAGAACAGAAGTTCCCCAAGTCTCTTCCGCTTCTGGCTGAAAGATGAAATTACCAGCCAAGTCGAGCAAGGCAAATGAATCAGATGCCCTGCGTGAGGCTGAAGGAAGCTCCCGGCAGTGGCTGCCTCCACACTGCTCTGTAAGGGGGGAAGTCTCGTCCCCCAGCTGTCTCCTACCATCATACATGCTCCCCAGCTTCAACGAGAGGCTGGATCTGCTCCAGCACTGTTAAAGCAGCTTCACAATGACTGACCTCCTTCTCTTCCCTGACTCTGGTTCTTGATTCCTGGCCTTAGTGGCTGACTTTAGACCATCCTCTGATCACAGCTCTAACATAGAGGTAAGGGCAATGTATATCATTGGTTGCATGGGTCAGAAACCACTCAAACTACACAAAATAAGAAAAAGACCAATTGAAAGTCAACAGGCAGTCTCATGGAACCCAAAAGTAGTCAACTATTGTCTCTCTCTGTCTCTGTCCTTCCCCATCTCCCTGGAACCACATGCTCTTGCACCTCTCCTTCTTTCTGCAGGGCTGAGCTGTGCTCCCGTTTCATAGCTGGCTTCGTCTCCTTGATCCTGGTTTCTCTGCTCTCCCCAAACCTGGACTTTCCTGTGCTGTGGCTTTCCCTTTGTCATGTTGCAACTTTCATCTCAAGTCTATAAGTGCTTTCAGCTCAAATACCCACCGCCAACTGACTACAGTCACTAGCCTATTATTCAACTACTCAACAGGAAAAAATCTGAAAGGTCACCAATCAGCCAATGAATTGTCTTGTTATTTCAGGTGTTTACCTTGGGTTTAATCAGGTGTGGGTAGGGGCCATCATGCTTAGAGGGATGCTTCTCACAAGAGTGGCAAGTGGGATTTCCTAAGGTGGAAGGTATAGGAAAGGAAGAGGTCTCAAAACATTCTAATATGTATAGCATGATATCCTTGATAAGGTGACTATTTCTGGTTTGACCCTGCTTTGTCTCTCTAGATTGGAGCCCAGTTCAACCTCTATGCCGTAACCTCCTAGACTTAAACCTCACTCCCTAAAGAGGAAGGGGTCGCCATCTCTACAGAATTTGTCAGTTCTCATTCTGCTCTTGAAGCTAGATTTCTGCTGCTTCTGGCATCAGCCAAATGCAGTCACATCTAGGTGCTGACACCCACTTCATTGGTTACAGTGGGTCTCAACCATGGGCAGCACCACCACTACAAGGGGTATTTGACAATGTGTGAGGGTGGCTATGGGTTAACCTAATGACTTTCTATTAAAGTCATTGAAGCGAGAGCTGCTGGCCTTTAATAGAAAGAGGCCAGGGACCCTCAACTTCCTGCAGCATGCAGGACAGTCCCTCCAAACTCCTGGCTTCCTTGTCTAAAACTCCCATTCCACGTTTTTGCCCATTTCGGAAAAGAGGTAACTGCATTTTTTCCAGGCATCCAAACTTGGAATCATCCTTGGCTCCTCTTTCTCCCACATACACCCCATCAGCCAGTCCTGTGAGTTCAACCTTCAAATTGTGTCCCGTATCTGACCATCCAACCTAGTCAGAGCCATTAACTTCACGTGGATTCCAGCCATAGGCTCCTAACTGATCTGCTCTTCCATGCTCCTTTTCATTCTGCTCTACCCCCAGCAGCCAGAGTGGTCCTGTGAAAATGTACTCATAATTTATTTCCTTAGTCCAATAACGCTGCATGGTTTGCTCCATCTGTTCAAATGCCATCTAATCAGAGAGCCCTTCCCTAATCTCCTGAAGTCACTCTAATCAGGTTTCAAGTCCCACCCTTCTGCTGGAAGAAGAATGACCTCCACATTGCAAAATCCCACTGTCAGTTCTCAGTCTCCATCTACCCAATGACGTCTCCATCTACCTACTGCACTCCCTATGTCCTTTACCCAACTTTTCCTTTATATATATTTTATATTTATTTATCACATATATTTATTTGTTGTCTCCCTGCAAGCACCAACACTTTGCCTTTTATACTCACTACCTTATCCCTAGCACCTACAACTGTGCATAACTCAAAGCAGGTCAATAAATACTTGCTGAACGAATGACCTCACTACAAAAAGTGCCAAAATAGAAGTGTGATCCCGGAGCAGGATGTGGTTATCTGTCTGGATAAGAGGTGATCAGTGGTAGGAGCAGCCCCCTTGGATGAAATGATATGACACTGAGTTGTTTGGCACAAGTTTGAGAACCATTTTCCAATAGCAAGGTAGAAATAATGCCCGTTGAAGCTTGAACTTAATTCCAATTCAAATATCATCATTCACAGGCAGTCTTTCCTTTGGCAAGAGTCAAGGGAGCCTCACATCCAAACTCCTTTCACATAAACTAGATCCTGCCTTTAGGGCTTCTTCCCAGTGTCCAGTGGAAATGGAGGCTTATGGCTGTCAGCACAGGGCAACCAGAGTGTCCATGGTTCAGCCCACAAAGATGATCCATAAAGAAAATTTGCTTAGAGATTTTTAACGAGCATATTTAACCAAACCAGACCTGTAGGAGGTTCAATGTTGCTGGGGATGCTCCGTGCTGTTGGAACAGCTGCAACCTGTAGTGCCCTGAAAGGACTCGTGCTCATTCACAGAGCGGGCACTCTCTTGCCTCTGGAGAGAGCAGGTCGATTTCAGTAGTTGCCACTAGAGGTCTATTCACAGCTGGAAATAAGAGTCATCACTCCTGCAAGCTCAGGGCTTCTGGGGAGGCACCTGCCCCAAGGTCTGCCCCAGAGTATGCTGAGCTCACATCACAGCTACCAGTAGCCTTTTCACCCCCCAGAGACCCCCTCTCCCCAAAACCATGGGAAAACAACTCCTTGGAAGTGCAGGCTGTCCTGAGCTGTGGTCTAAGGGTGGAGTGATGAGGTGGTTTCTGGTCACTAAATGAACTTTTTTACATCGAATAGTAGCATTTGCAATTACCCACAGCAGATCTTCTTTCATGTAAAAGTATTTCCCCCAAAGGTCTACCTAGGAATCAAGTAGTTTTTATGCAAAAGAGACAAGTGCTCACAATCTGAAGGAATCCTTCAAGAATCTTATCAGTAGTGAATTGATAACTGAATGATAAATCTATTTGGTAGATTCATGCCTCAGGGTTGCTTTACATGGTTCTTTGATTTATCCGCAGATGAGTATGAAGTATTAGTCCTGTGTGTTTTAGAGTTCAGCTATACTTCATATGCTAATCCAGTCTTTTTTTAAAAATATATTTTATTAATTTTTTACAGAGAGGAAGGGAGAGGAATAGAGTTAGAAACATCGATGAGAGAGAAACTTTGATCAGCTGCCTCCTGCACACCCCCCAATGGGGATGCGCCCGCAACCAAGGTACATGCCCTTGATCGGAATCAAACCTGGGAACCTTCAGTCTGCAGGCTGACGCTCTATCCAATGAGCCAAACCAGTTAGGGCCAGTCTATCTTCTTTTAAAGAGGTAAAATGTACATAACATAAAATTTACCATTTTAACCACTTTATTGTGTGACAGAACTATCACCACTAAATCCAGAACATTTTTCTTTTTAATTCTCAAGGATATGTTTTATTGATTTGAGAGAGGGAGAAAGAGAAACATTGATTGGTTGCCTTTAGTACACGCCCTGATCAGGGATCGAACCTGCAACCTAGGTATGTGCCCTGATTGGGAATTGAACCTGCAATCTTCTAATGTACAGGAAGATGCTCCAATCAACAGAGCCACCCAGCTAGGGATAATTCCAGAACATTTCATCACCCTAAAAAGAAATCTGTACTCACTAAGCAATTATTCCCCATGACCCCTTTCTTTAGGCCCTGCTTTGTCTCTATGAATTTATGTATCCTGGGAATTTCATATAAATGGCATAAGACATGTGGATTTTTGTGTCTGGATTCTTTTAAATACAACATTTTTCAGGCTAAGCCATGTTGTGATCGATATCAGTACTTCATTGTCTCATGGCTGAATAATATCCCATCGTATGGATATACCACATTTTGACATTTAGGTTGTTTGCACCTCCCGTCTACTATGAGTAATGCTGTTATAGACATTTCTGTACAGTCTCTTGGGTATATATGTGGGAGTGCAATGATTGCTCGTTTTAGCACTCAACATTGAGTGCCTATTCTCTACCAGGCTTTCTGCATGCTTTTCATTCATTCAACAAACATATAACAGGGTACTGGAAGTACAACCATGAACAAACATGCAAAGGTCCCAGCTTTCATATAGGTCACAGCAAAAAACCCCCACAGATGAGCAAATAAGATAATTTCAGATGAGGGTTGAGGACTATTTTAAAGTGTGAGGCAGGATAGAAAGAAGTTAGAGAAAACACCTGACGAGAGTGGAATGAGGAAGTAGGAGCCGACATCACGGGATGGTAAGTCACTAGGTCCACTCACCAGGATCCCCACCTCCACGCATGATCATAGGGAAACAGTCAGACAGGAAACCCCTCCAGGGTCACAGAAGTCAACAACAGCAACAAGGACTAGCTAAACCCAGATCCATCCAAGATGGAGAAAAAACTTGTAAGAGACTGGCCTCAAAGCTCATTATACCATCATCATAATGAAAACTGACACAAGTAGAAGGGGGGGGGGGGCAGAGGAGGAAGAACACCATGATACTTTTTAGAACAGACCATATTAGGAACAAAACACACACACACACACACACACACACACACACACACACACACACAGAAGGCCGAGTCAGAATTCAGTGCCACAAATTTAGAAACAACCCACCCTTGGAAACACATAAAATCCCAAGAACTGACTGACCCAGCACACAACTCACTCTCGAGTTCACCCATTCCACTTGGACGTGTACTTTTGCTACTTTCACAGCGACGCCCTGAGAGACTTGCAACCAAAGGAGCAGTGGGCAGCTCAACCCCTGATCCTGTCTCCAGGAACCCGCATCCTAACTCTTTTTCTCTACCTGAACAAACTGGCTTTCACTCTCACCATGACTCTTTTTTTTTTTAACAGATAAAAATGCCTTTATTCCTAATATGTGTGCTAACAAATTTTGAAATTGATCATGTAGCTTGTAGTACTAGTAAAACCCGGCCAATGGAGGGGCACTCTAGGGTCCTGCTTCTGGGCACCAAGATGTCACTCCTCCAGCAACTCTATCTTTAGTTTTTCTTCAGCTGTTTTTTGTGATGTATGGAGAGTTGTTTTGGATTCCTCTGTATGACAGAGAGGTCCGACCGTGAGGAAGACCGGTAGCCCACATCCTCTGCTTTTATAGGCTTAATGATATGTCCTGGCTTGGTGACAACCTTGGGTGTAGTCAGCTTTTGGGAGGCTCTCTGGGTGTTCCATGTAGATCCTATAGGGGTCTGGATGGTCCTCTCAAATTGCTGATGGTGGGTAAATGGATATGGAAGCACCCGCACCTGGTGAGCTGCTGCATGGATGTTTCGCTTCTCATTGATAATCACATTTGGTAAATTCTTGTCCTTTCTTGGAGGACCTTCAGGTGCTTTAATGAGAAACCGGCGTCTCTTCTTGGCACTGGGCTTCAGGCCCACACCGCCCCACTCGCCCCAGCCAGGCAGAGTCAGGTCCACGTCGTTTGGCTTACTCGCCTCCACTGTTTCTCTCTTCTCCTTCAAGAAATCTCTGATGACATCATCACCAGCAAAAGCTTCCTTTATCATTTGCTTTTGCTTTCTCTCTTGTTCATCTTCCAACTCCTCTATTGTGGGGACAGCCGAAGACTTCATGGAAGGAGATTTTGTGGTTAAGATGTTCTGTAGGTCAATCATTTGCTCCTTCCTTTTCTTCTTGGGAGCACTAGGCTGATTATTCCTCTCCACCTGCTGCCCTTCTAACGCAGGTCTGGGAAGCTCCTCATTTTGAAAGCATCCTTCTTTGCTCAGTTCCTTTAGCTCCTCCAGAGTCTGTGCTCTCTCCGGCCTCTGTAGCAACAGGGGCTCCTCTTCTTCCCCAGCAGGTCCCTCTCTCTGGGTGGACAAAACAGTCCTCACTGAACCCATGTTTTGCTTCCTGCACTGATGGTTGTCCTTGTTGAGTTTCTGAGACAGTCCTCTCAGTTTGGATAGCACCTCCTGGGTGCTAGAATCTTCTGTTTCTTGTCTGCCCACTGGCTTGGTGTCCTGGTTGAGCCCCGACATTTTCCTAAGTAACTGACTTTCCTTAAATTCTTTCAACAAAATTTCTTCCTCTGCCACTGGTCTTTCTTCTTCCTCACTCTCAGAAGCCTCGTTGGCCATGGGCTCTGGAAGTTGTTCAGAGTCCTTTTGGATTTCAGCCTCTTTTGCGTCATCAGAGTGATTCCTGACCATCCAGGGATTCGGTCCATCTGCAGTCATGTGTGCCTCATTCACTGCATCAGGGACAAGGAGATCAACCTCTTCTTCACCTCCCTCCTCTTCCTCACTCTCAGAGGCCACCTGGACTTTCTGCGTCAGTTCTTTGTTCCTGGCCAACTGATCCTGCATAGCCTGGCGAGCCTCCAGGTCATATTTGGCCATAACTGCCTTTGACTTTGCCCATTTTCCACTGTTCTGGTGCTTAAGGCTCATTCGCTCCATCATTCTGGCCTTTTCGAGTTTTTCCAGTTCTTCCAGTGCAGCAGCAGGATTGGTCTTCCGCAGCTTCTCAAACTCTTTTAGGGAATTCTTGGCCTTTCCTTTCTTCAGAACTCTGTGATACTTTTTGCTTTTGATTTTCTTCTCTCTTCGAGCCCTGGCCTCATAGTAAGACTGCAGGGTCCGGGCCCTCTGAAGCTCTGCTCGGCGCATCTTAGCCATTTCCAGGCTCATGGCTTTGAGAGAGGCCTTTTCCACAGGAGTCAGTAAAGGGTCTGTCACTGGCTGCTTGTTCTTACAAAGGAGGTTAAAAATCTCCTGCTCCAGGGGTGTTCTTGCCTTCCAGGCGTTGAGCACATGCTCCATGGGAGCGAAGGCTGACTGCTCCTTTATCAGGGGGAAAACCAGCTGCTCTGCTTGTCGGTTCTTCTGAACGATGGGATCCCATTTGGAGAGCGCCTGTGAGGTTTTATTGAATGCCACTTCTCTGTGGATCCGCTCAACCTCTTCTTTGTTAAGGGGTAGCTCCACAGTCTTCTTTGATATGACTCTATTCAGTTGCTTTTTCACAGTGGCCAATGAGGATGAAGTTTTAACAGGTTCAAGCAGATCTGAAAGGACTAGCCTTTCTCCTGATCCTTTAGAACTGACCGTGAACTCTGACACCTTCAGACTAGCCTCAGATCTCTCAGCCAATTTCCGCCTATTCTTTCCATCAAGGGAACTGATTGCTTCCAGAAGCTTTTGATGCTTTCGCTCTCCACCACTGTCCCCCTCATCTTCACTGGTGCTTGAGGGGTAGTCATTTGGCAAATCTTCTAGTTCTTCCTGTTCCCTTGGAGCCAGAAGGCTCTTTGCAGCCCGTATCCCCCACCATGACTCATTCTTGAATTCTTTCCTGTGAGAGTCAAGAGCCTGGAGGTCCTGGACCATTCTGGGGCAGGGCTAGTCCCGGATTGGAATGGGTCTGGGTGACAGGTGAATGGTCAGGGAAAGACTCTGTGAGCAGGAGACCTTCGAGCTGAGGTCTGAAATTAAAAAAAGAAAAGAAAAAAAGACCATCATCTACAGGAAAAACCATGAGAATATGTGGAGAAGGCATCTGAGCAGAGGGAACAGCAGTTGCAAAGGCCCTTAGAGATGACGCTCTAAAACAGGGGTGGGCAAACTTTTTGACTCGAGGGCCACAATGGGTTCTTAAACTGGACCGGAGGGCTGGAACAAAAGCATGGATGGAGTGTTTGTGTGAACTAATATAAATTCAAAGTAAACATCATTACATAAAAGGGTACGGTCTTTTTTTTTTTAGTTTTATTCATTTCAAATGGGCCGGATCCGGCCCCCGGGCCGTAGTTTGCCCAAGGCTGCTCTAAAATGCGCTCTCATCCACAGACCTCCCTTCCTGCCCATTTGAATTCTGATGCCCATGCCTGTGCTCATTGTGGACCTTATTCATCTGCCACGCCCAACTCTTCTCATCTTCGACCTCTCCCTCTATATTGTCAACAGTTAATACAAATAAACCTCTGGCATTTCAAAATATTTTTAACCTATCTTTCAATCAACTGAACCATAAAATCCCTTTACATTGCGGCAAGAATTCCCTCCACCATCTAACTGTCGCCTCAAACAGCTTCCCTCCAAGGCTTCTATATTTCCAGTTATGACAACACCATCCAAGCACTCAGGCTCTAAACTCCGCTTTTCTCCATTTCTTCCCATACTCATCTGTTATAGAGACCTGCTACCTTTCATGTTTGTAGCAACAACACCTCCCTGTCCATTTCCAAAGGCACCCCACCCTAGTTTAAGAACTGATGATCTCAAGTTTGGATTACTTCTTTCTAGCCCCACTTGTCTCCCTGCTCCCACTCCTCTCCTCCCAGTACCCTACCCTCTGAGAGCCTCCCTGTGCTGCAATAACTTTCCCAAATGCACAGTTGCCAAAAGCTCTTCTCATGCACATACGGGGTGAAATGTGGCTGGTTAAGCATACTGAAAAGAGACCAACAACCATATCAAAAGAGTGTTGTTGGTGACTAGTTGAGGCTGGAAGAATTCTGTTCTTCCAGGTATCCTGTTCAATTTTTGGTCAATGTTATGAGTGAAGTGCAGAGAAGAGATGCTAACCAAGTTGCAAATGACAAAAAGTCAGAGTGATGACAAATATGATAGGTATTTTTTTCCAACCTTCTAGAATGTTGGGTAAAAATGAGTAAGATGTTGGAAGGATAAATGAGTTTTGTGTTTTTTTTTCAGATTCTAAAAATCAACTGCATGCATGCCAGGCCAGGGGTACACTTGCTGAAAAACAGCTCATGTGAACAATGGGGTAAGGTGACTCCTGGAGGAAAAGACGAGTCACAGGAAAGTGGTGTTGCAAACTCAGGAAGTAATTGACTCATTGTTCTTAGTTCCATGTAGATGATATCGGGACCACATTTGAAGAGGAATAATGACCAACTCCAGAGTATCCTTGAATGGGTAATCAAAATTAAAATACCAATTTTGAAAAACAGATATCACTATTTCCAAAATGGTAGATCGAGCATCAGATGAATCTATGTAATATCATTAAACTAAGGGCAATTTTGTTCCAAGTCAGTAAAAAGCAATTACCCAAAAGATAGATAAGGTGAAAGGTCACTTTGGCAGGTTTAAAAACCATTGCAATTGCTTCTACATTTGAGTAAAGTTAAATATTTATTCAGCTATTTTTTCAAATTTAACTGAAAAAGAGGAAATCAACCCTGTTATCAGTTAGAGTGTGATAGAGTTTGTAACCAAACAAAGGCAAAGCCATACTGTAATCCACCCCCCACCCCAAATTATTTCTGAGTGATTGTTGCTTTCTTGCCAAAGACATCTTCAGCCTCATTTTGTTCTAATTCCTGAACAGGATTTCTGAGATACCAAACTGCTGAATTACTCCTACTCCCTGAGAGTATCTAATACAATACTAGTTCCTATTTCTCTAGCCCTTCCTTACAATCACCTCGTCAAAGCCCAAATTTTTTAATAAACCCCTCTGACACTCTCTTACCAAGACACCATGTATTCTCATTCATTGAAGCAAGCTAAATAAACCTACATTTATTTAACTATAGGTATGTTCCTGGAGGTCTTTGGATGGTGGACACTGAAACAACAAATATTTGTTGAATACGTGCTATGTGCTAGGCACTGTACTAGGTGATGAAGGGAAGTAAAGAGTTGATTATAGATAAGAAAATAAAGGAGGCTGAATCAATTCCAGGGCTACTGATGACAGGGGGTGGGAGGAGGACCGGGGAGAAATTAGGAACAAAGTCAAAGAAGTATATGTTGGACAAGTTGTGTACCAGGGTACCTGGCTCACTCACACCTTCTACTGCAGGTCCCTGTTGAACAGGCATAGTCAGGCTCTGTACCAAGTGGCACACATAAGGGTGGACCCCAACCTCCAATGGGCTCTCCTACAGATTAGGAGCCCATGCCTTGGTGTGGCCTTGCTCAAAGAAGACGCGTTAGGCCAGTTCTATTCCTACCTCAGGATGCTGACCTCAAATTCACACAGGCCAGTTCCAGCTGTCAATAAAGTCAAAAGGATTATCAAGAGTTCCCCCACTGTAGAGGGAACTGGGGGGGCCACTAACCACATGTGGAGACTGTGCAGGTGAAATACAGCTAGCCACTGGACTGAAGTTTTAACATTTGTATTTCATTTTTAACTAATTTAAATTTAAATGTGTGGCTCCTGGCTATAGTGCAACTCGAGTCTCTCCTCCTTACTCCTCCTGGACTCCCAACAGCCACTCCAGCCTCAGTGGCACTTGCTGTAGCTTTGTTTTTATACTTGTGTGAGTATTTGGTTGTTTATCCCCCTCAGTAGATTGGAAGCTCCCTGAGACAGGGAACATTCAGTTTGTTCATTTCCCTATTCTCGAAGCCTAGTACAGGGCCTGGCACAAAGTAGGTGCTCAGTGTATGTATGTGCACAACCAAGTGACGAATATCCAATTAGGAGGTGCATTTGTCAGAGTTCTCTGGAGAACAGAACCAACAGGAGATATATAGATACACACATACATATATATGTGTTTATATTTATATAGGGTGTCCCCCAAAAAGTATATATACATTTTGAATAATTATAAAGGCAGTGTTTATTAACATACATTTCATTTTCAAAATTGAGCTATCAGCTGTGAAAGTATGTATACATTTTTGGGGATGCCCTGTATATAAAGAGATTTAGTATAAGGACTTGGCTGACATGAAGATGAAGGCTGACAAGTCCCAAGGTCTGTGGGATGAGTTTCCAAGCTGCAGACGCAGGAGTCTGTGGTGCAGATCCAGTCTAAAGTCTGGCAGGCTCGAGACCCAGGAAGAGCCAATGTTTCAGTTCAAGTCCAAAGGCAGGAAGAAAGCCAACGTCCCAGTTAAAGGCAGTTAGGCAAAAAGCATTCTCTCTTATTCGGGAGAGGATAAGCCTTTTTTGTTCTATTCAAGGCTTCAATGGATTGGACGAGGCCCACCACATTAGGGAGGGCAATTTGCTTTACTCAGATTTAAATGTTAATCTCACCCAAGAACAATCTCACAGAAACACCCAGAATAATGTCTGACCAAAAATATCTAAGTGCTCCTTGGCCCAGTCCGGTTGATACATAAAATTAATCACGGAGGGGGACCAGGAGAGATGGAATGTCTTTTTCTGAGTTTGTATTTAAGGAAAATTTTCTTGTAATTAGGCAAATAGTTTAAAACAGAACTTAGGGAGTTGTCCCAACTTTGCCTGAATGCATCCCTTATCTCCTTCCTGGAAGGAGACAGGAAAGAACAAAAAGAACAGGATAAAATCCATCAACTCTGGCTCAGCACATGATTCTCTTCATGGGACACTGAGTACTGCAGGTGCTGTTGGGGTGATGGGCGTCCACTGACTCATCCTGAGATAAATAAAGAGAGAGGGGAAGACACCCAAGAGCTGAGCTCTGGTGCCCTCAAAATTCTGAACCACATAAATGGGGGTGCCTGAACATTCATTCCTAGATATGGTCCCTGGTACCCCTGAAACTGTTGTTTTGCACAAGACTAAGAGTTTGCTATTTCAAAAACTCAAAGACTCTGGCCTCCAGCTTAGAAAGCTACTATCTTAATTCAATCTCTGGTAAGATGCTCACACTTTGTACTTGGGACAAAAGGTCTGTGGCACGCGCCTGCCACCTGGTGGCAAGATGTTGAAAGATGTGCAAAAGGCTTTCACCCTAAAGTTCTGACTTGGCCAAAATACAAGCCAGAAAGGGCATGCTTTGGATTTGCATTAGTGAAACAGAATTATAGGTTAATAGAGGCAATAAACCTGGGAAAGAACTTAGTGATTACTGAGTCAACTACCACAATTTCCAGATGAGGAAACTAAGGCTTCGAGATACTGTGTGACTCACTCAAAAATTTATAGGCACGAAGTGACCAGAGCCATCTTGTCATCTCCAATCAAGTGTCACTGCCCCTCCAACCCAACTCTAGAATATAACTGTTTTTTTATTTGAAAGCCACTAAAGACTTGGTTAATTGGCAGAATAGTTAGCAATTGAATACAATTATAAAGCAAACAAAAGGCCAATTTCATGATGCTAACTCTTTTGTAATGAGCACAGGTTTTTGTAAAGAGACTGTCTTTTCAGAAGTGACAAAACCCTGCCAGGGCTGAATCCTGAACTTGCTCTTTCAGTTTAAATAAACAGAGATGGATGTGCATTAGCGAAATCAAGCGAGTTATCAATTCCCTCTACAGGAAGGGGATGCCACCTTTTTATTTATGCTTTCGTTCATCAAATATGCATTAAACATTGCTATGTTGTGCTAGGTGCTCGGGATACCATGAGGAGAAAACAAATGAGATTTCTGTTCTCGTGGAGCTCACAGTCTGGGGGAGGAAGACCAACAAGCTAACATGCAAGTGCTGTGCCAGGTGGTGATGAGGATGCTGCACGTGTGCTCAGTGAGCTAGGGCTGGAGGAGGCAAATGTTAACGGACCAGCAA